GTGACTTGTGGGGAAGGGTTTTCACAAAGCAAGCAACACAAAATTAATATGAGCTTGGCAATACAATGTCTTTAATTACTAGGAACAAACCAGTGAGTTAAGATAGCTGGCTTATAGAAAGACATACGAAAAGCAAATAAATCTTTCTATAAAGATTTTTCAAAAAGCCTAATGTTTCAACATACTCATAGAAATAGGAGGTAGGTCTATAATACATAACTCTCTTCAAAAATAAAGGTCTAATACAGGCCAAAGGGAAACGACAAGCCATAATGTAATTGTTCTATCTTTTGTAAGTCTTTCAAAAGTTTCATCTGAGTAGCTTTTAAAACCTAACTTGCAATCGACAAATCCCACTGGGCTCCTATTTATAGTATCCTAATTTTCAAAGAAAGCAAATCAGGCAACTGTTTTTAACATGAATAATATTGCTCCCAGCACTCTGCCTCCAGCCCACACATTGTGTTTTTTGGCACGATCATGGCAATTAAAAAAAATAAACAGCTCTTTTTAATATTTTTTATACATAAGCTATTACAGTCAGCGCTGACACAGCTGGCAGAGAAACTCAGTGAAAGGTAAACATTCTGCTCAAAATGTAATCCAACATATTGTTGCGTTTAGTTGTTAAAATGTAATTTTCGTGAAAGAATATTTTAAAAGTAAGTTTAATTTTTTTTATTTTTACAGAATTTCTTGTATTTTGATATCTGATTACAAAAAAATCATAACCTTTTAAAGCAATGGCACTTATGACACTGGATATTTCAGTCAACAACTTATTGAATTTTTTAAAATATTCTTAACAAAAATTGGGAATGAAAATTAGGTGTGTGATGCTTTATCCTTCAGCAGAATGTAATAGTCTGTGCTAGTAAAATCAATTTTTTTTAACAGAATTTTGTCAAAAACAGGAAGTTCAGTAATAAGTGTCTTCAACTGTTTAAAGGGAAGAAAACTTCCAGTAGAATTAAGATTAGTTTGTGACTTGCTTCAGCAACAACAAAAGATTGTTGCTTGACCTGATTACTACGAGCACGTATGAAATGAGATATGGAATGATAAGTATTTCACTAGAGAAAACACATGAAGGTAAGGGACATAGGTAAATAATTATCTGTCATACCTGTCCAGAAGTTCTAAAGGGACTTTTATTTTTAAAAAACATGACTTTGTGTGGTGGCTTACGATTAAGATGCTGTACTTCCAACATTTTGCTCCCTGTTGGAGACAAATGCAGAGGCAGCCAAGCAGAGCTGGGTGCAGGCAGGGTTCTGGTGCTCTCTATAATGCTCGGGAGGTTTCTTACCAAGAGCTGGGTGGTGCCTGTGTGCTGCAAACCCCACCTCTGCTGCAAACCGTGCCCTGGTGTTCATGGGACAGCTCAGTGGGAGGTGTGTGTAACCAAACAAATACAGAAAGCACCCAGTGGAACTTTTGAGGAAGCTTGTGGGCATATTATAGCTACATATGCTCCATGTTGTGTGGCAGGTCAGCAGGAATTGAGAGTCCTGGTTGACATTTGTTCACCTGATGTGTAAGAATGTGAGATGTGCTGGTTTGTGCTGCCTGGACAATGGAAGTGTCCACCATAACTGGTGTCCCTATCAGTAATTATGTTTAAAAGGAATTTCTTTAAAGATCCACCTTTTCCTTTTACTGATTACCAGTATATCCTTGGAATCAGGGTTTTCCAACTCCCAGTTGCTTCTCCTTCTCTCAGACTGAATTATAAAAATAGCAGGTATGCTGCAAAAATAGGTTTCTGCCCTTTTATAATCCAGTAAATTGCCCTCTGGCTACATAGTTGGAGTATATGGATTTAAGTTTGTAAGAGCAACTCAACAATCATTTGCAATGTGTTTAACATGAAGTGAAGAGAAACATTTAAAGTTTAGAGCAACCTTCAGTAGAGAAGAAAATTATTTGGTGACTCCTATTGTTCATCTTGGAATGTGTTTCAGATGTTAGGTGTGGACTTCATATCACCCTCGGGGCAGTTAATAACAGCTAAAGGAGCATTATCTGCTGAAGTCATTGGAGTGTGAACCCAGAGACATTGTTGTCTTTGTCTTGTCACAAAAGAAATTCAAAATAATTGTGCAGAAGAAGGAGTGCAACAGAAGCATTCTGTGGTCTGGTTCTCCAGTCATTCTGATCTGTTACACCAGCAAATTTGTGGCCAGGACAATTGTGACCTAAAATTGTGCTCTCTGACTAGGACAAATACAATGCAAAAGATTTTAATTGCATAGAAATTTTTTTGCAGTGAAGATACAATTAAAAGAAGTATTACTACTTTAGGCAAGTGGCAATCCTGGAATTGTTGTGTAACTAGACTTTCAACAGCTGTGCTCTCTCTCTTCATGGAGATGATCATACCTGGCATTGTATCATGAAAAAAAAAAAAGAAAAAGATTAGAAGAGTGATGTATTTATTTCATGTGAAAACTCAGTTGCCCTGATCTGATTCTCACCTAAGAAAAGAGGGGAACTTTTTCCAGTGCAACCTAAGGTTTCAGTACAACCTAAACTGTTAGATTATGAGTATTTGGGGGCATCCCACATCAAGTTTTCTATTGATTCCTTAATCTGAATAGATATGCTCCACACAGCTGTCCCAATGGGCATGTTGGTGGATTTGAGAAGAATCATATGCTCCTGACTGGGGCCAGGGTCTTGCTGTTCTTACTGAGTTTCAGAGCAAACTACTTCCCAAATGCAAACCCCTTCCCAAATGCAAACCCCAAACAAATGATGACTAAATGATGTGATCTGTGTTGTATCAGTCTGTTGTGCTACAGACTCTGCAGGACCTGCACAAATGAAAGTTTCACGTGCCCCTATCTGCTGTTGGCAGTACATTTGGTTCAGGCTTTCAGAGCCATTGAAACATGTTTGTCTGCTCTCTGCTGATGTTCTTAAGAGCCCACACAGGCCACAGGGAAAGGTCGTCTATGGTGGGAACAGTCCTGATGGGCAGATCAGCTGTACCTCCTCCTTGATACTTCCTGCTGAGCAAGGTGGAGCTCCCTGTAGGGCTGCCCATGATGGACAGCAGGCTGTGCTTTTCAAGTCTAGCCCAAAGTCAACAGGAAAGGAAGTCCTATGCAATGAAAAAATTTAAGTCTTCTGTAATATACAGCAGTGTGCTGATTTTTGTTATTGTTATTATTATGGACTCTGAATTAGATCCGTGTGAAATGAAGTTGTAGATGTTAAATGCAAAAATATCTGAGATGATGTTATGTCTATTTGATACAAAAGGGGTGGCAGGGTAACAAAAGAGGGAAAATGAAGGAGACTGATGTTTGTTTAATAGAAAAAGGCAGCATCTGCAGGGAAAAAATTATAATCCTAAGGTTTTTTTAAGACTATTACAAAGAATAGAGAATAAAAATAGGGAAAACTGGAAAAAGCAATAATATCTATAAACATTAATTCATAGCTTGTTTTTTTTGAAGTATATGACTTTTTTTTCCCCAAACTCACTAATAGGGTTCTAAATACGAGTGAGAATAGCAAATTGCTTTTTCTATCTCTGGGATCTATAGTTTCACCTCTACACTTGAATAAAAACATTAACCAAGAGGCAGATACTCATTTCTTTTGTTTATGCTCAGCCTCAGGAATTTTTCAGCTGAAATCAATAATTAAAATGTTTATTAGCCATGGTAAGTGTTATAAATGAAACTTTGTTAAACACAGATTATCTTAGATAACGGAGATATTTATGTCCAGATTTTTTAGCCAGGTAACAGAATTTGAGAGGAGAGACAATGTATAACTTCATATTTACTCCGTAGATTCTGTATTCACTGGGGAGATTCAAACACTTTGGTATCTTTTCATTTTCTTTACACAACAGAAAGCAGTGGTTGGTTCTTAAGAAATAGATCCACATGGAGTTTATTTTAAGTGTTAAAAAAGCATGGAGTTTAACGTAACAGTTTCTGAAAGATCACAGAATAAATGGTTTTAGAAAGTAGAACTCCTGATGCATCCAGAATACATCTCCAATTAATAAAAAATGCTTATAATACGTACCTGAGATGACATATATAGTTTTATGTGTGCATATTGAGCGAGACAATTTGAGTGTATATTTGAAAAGAGAAAATGAGAGTTTGAGTACATGCTTTAAACAGAAGAGGGATCATATGCCCATACCCAGTACTCTACTGTAGAGGGACAGAGGTTCAATAGACCCACACTTCTGTTCCTACTCTTCCCATGGCACTCCGAGCAGGAATAGTTTGATTGATATGGAATGAAAACATGGTTCATGATTGTTAGGCTCTTGGGATTGTAACACTGAGTACAGTGAAGTGAGCCTAAAGCTTTTGGAAGCTGGAACAGCTTTTTTTAAATATCCACAGAAATATTAGTCTGATGGGATGGTGTTTTGGTTTTGGTGTTTTTTTTTTTTTCAAATTTCCCTTAAGAATTCCATTATATCGATTATTTTCCTCTTTCCGATTTCTCTGGGTATCTGTAGCTCTGAAGTGGAGCTGCACATCCAGCTGGCAAGGTGCTGGCATGGGAGTGCCACTGCTCCAGCAGCTGCTGCTGTCCTTTTTTTTTTCAGCAGCAGTTGCTTGGTGAGAGCCAGTCAAACTCTGCTGGGCTTTTCCTCCCAACCACAGAACCTAATCTGTGAAGCAAAATAGTTCAAAATGCTATGTTCCTCTTCTCCTTACACCAGTGGTACTAGCTTGGAGTACTTCGTCCTCACAGGCATCTCTATTTTTCATTCCATAGCTTTTCTAGTAAAATACTGTAGTTCAATGAACATGTGAAGTGCTTTTCTTTTCTGAATATCTCCTTGAAGAAACGTCTGCTGTGTTACCACAAGAAGTCACTTACACACAGGGGTAGCCAGGGTTCTGTGATAGCCAAAATCAAAGGTGGAGATTTCTGTTAAAACCTTTCAGATTATTTTGGAATCACTAAACTGTGAAATAGCTATTTTGTTAGCTTAGAAATTTTTCTACATGTAACATTTATTCCTCTTCATCATTCCTTGTGTTTGCTTCTCATAGCTATTTGTTGCATCTTGCTTCAGATGAAAGTGCAGACTCTGAATAAGCCTCAAATCTTCTTGCTCACTGACCTAGCACAGTGAAGGCAATGCAACATCCACATCACTGCAAATAGTAATCAGCCCCCTCAAAGAAGGCATAGATAAGCAACATCCTTCTCAGTGTGAACAGTCACTAGGCATAGGTGTGGTTCATACTGTTGTCCAGCATATATCTTAGGAATCATACTCTGTCGACTGTGTTTTTAATATGCATTTCTTAGAATAAGACTATTATCCTGTAAGCCAAATTAATGTGTCCACATTTTAAAAGGAAACTATTTATTTGGATTTAAACACTCTGTTTTGTGTTTCGAAGAGTGGAGAAAATTGAGTCTAATAGGAAACCCATTATTATATATCTGGTGTAATAAACACTAACAACAAATTTCTAAAAGCTATCCGGAAGTTGCTGCTATGTACCTTCCATTTTGTTCTCATTTATGGCACTGATAGTACAAAGTCCTTACAACTCCAGGAGTGGGCTTCCTCTGAGTTGTGATCAGAGCTGGCCTTTTGTTTGTTTTGATACTAACCTGTCAAAGTTTCTCACTGACAAGGGGCTCCTCCAAGTTTTGTGAAGGACTGGAGAACTGGAAGTCCACTGTACTTCTGCAGTCCAAGGCACTCTGTAGTCATGGAAGAACAAGGTTATGATTTTTGTGTGTTTGTCATTTAGTTGCCAAAACATTTATCCACAATAAAGAAAAAATATTCATACTGTATGGAGGCTATGGGATGAGTGTCATTTAAAATACTTATCCCTTCTTTTTTATCTCAACTGTAAAGAACAGGGTTAGGGTAGTAAAGGGAAGTGCAAAGCTGGTAGACTCAGCTGTATTTTCAGAATACTGGATACATTGTATGCAGCCTGGCATACAAGCAAAAACAAACAGAGAAAAGCAGACACTCTAACTATAATTAATAATTCTCAGCTAAAGGAAAAAAGCATGTCTACAAGATAGGAAGGATACTGAGCTCCTGCTCTGCCAGATGGAAAAAAAGATGAGTTTTGAATCTGCCATGGCTTTCCACATTTGGCTTGAAAAGTGCAAAGCTGTGTGTGAAACAGCTAGTTTGCCTGTGCCTTCCCAAACCAGAGTCTCTTTTGACCCTGCTCAAAAAGGAAATAATTTATTTAAATGAGAATAAGCAAATAGGACCTCAAAAATATGGTCAACCGCCCCTATATGTTAGTCTAAGTATATAATAAATATCACAGGAACTCATTAGGAAAAAAAGTTTTAAGAGGGTTTTTTTTTTTCTGCCTTGGTACAAACCCTGAGTGAGAGAAGGTTAATCCTTAACGTGAATGCCTAGCCTTGAGATACTATGGTAGGAAGTAGCTCCTTCCAGCCTAATTTAATCTAGATTAGCCCACAGGGACCTCTGTGCCCATAGAGCTGAACATTTCTCATCCAGCAGAACTCAGTAAAGGGGGAAGTATTCCACACAGGGCACTGGTCAGGGCTGGGACTTTTCAGTACTACAGTAATACAAATAATCCATTATATTAGGAGGCTTTGAAAAAGGAATGTTTGACTGTATGGAGCAAGTAATGGTGTTTGATGTACCTCCAAGGTGGCAGTCAGTGGGTGAGCCTTGCAAAACTCAGCTGCTTCTCTCAGCAAGTTTCCGCCTTGTAAACAGTGCCTTTGTTTTCTGTCTATGTGGGCTCTGATGCCTTAGATTCCCTTTGATGTATGAATGAATCCGGTGCTTCACAACAAAACTCAAACTAGACCTGAAAAAGCACAGAGGGAGAGAAGAAAGAAGGGAAAGGGAAAAGGTAGTTTTAAATATCCACATTACTAAAGCTGGTGAAATGATGTGTGTACTGACAGGATGATTGTGTATTTGCTCTTTGTGGCCATTTGGGGCAGTTGAGGCTTGTGGATGTACTTGAGGTTGCATGAGTGGTTTTCTGTTTGCTAGCACCTATGTGTATGTAAGGAGTTCAGAGACAGAATTTGTTTACTCAAAGCATCTGTCAAATAACTTAATGCAGCAACTAATTCAGGTGAAAAGAGTAACCTGGTCTTGGACAAACTGCAAGCAGACAAATGGGCCAAAAACCAGGCTGCTGTGGCTTGTGTATGGGAGAAACAACCTGTATTCTCCTGATGGGGCAGAAGGATGCTTCTTTCTTTGCACCTGTTCGTCCCGTGGCTCTTGATCTCTAAGGATCCTTTAACTGACTGGTTATTCCATACAGAAACAGAAAAGAGTGGATTTACCCTGTCTTGCTATTGCATGTCTGTCTGTGTGAGGGAGATGAGGCTCTTCCCCATGTTCAGAGTCTGCCACACAGGACAGCGTGCAGGACAAGCTGACCTTCTCCTTTACATCTCAGAGCTGTGAAACAGAGCCCAGCTACACTGGCCCTCAGTTTGTCTAATACAGTTGTGTACTATAAATGGATCAGCCAGTTGTGACTGGAACCACAATCCTCAAAAAACCTTTCGACAAATCTGGTTTGAGTTTCAAGTTGCAGTGAAATATGAGATGAGGTGGGTTTTATATGGTTTCAGGTTTTGTTGAAAACCTTTCAACTAGTTCTAGTCAGTAGCTGTTGCTTTTTCAGTTCCCTCCTTCTAACATGTCTATGGTATTTCTAGTTGAATGTGCCCCAGATTAAGCACAGTTAGGAGAAGGGGTGGAAATACAGTCCCTAAATTTGACTCAGCTCAGAGGGAACTGAGAAAGAGTGAGAAGGATGCCCTTTCCTTATTCAAATTCCTCTTTTGGTCTAGTGGAACTTTACGAAAACTTCATTTTTGTATGGAGATTTTTGGACTGCTTAGCTAGCTGTGATAATAGCACTATAGATCACCTCCTAACTGGCTGGTGCAAGTGGAAAAGGAGCCCTGCAGACTCTGTTTGGCAGGTGGACAGGAGACCTGGAGAAGCAGTCAGATTCCCAGCTGGCTCATGGCGCTCACAGCCGGGAAAGCAGTCTGCATGCTGCCTGCCACGGAGCTGGGAGGCGAGGAGGGGCTCGGCTTCCCAGCTGGCAAGGGGAGCACAGGCCTGGAGAAGTGGGCTGCTTTCCGTTTGGCTTCACAGGTTGAGCGAGAGGCCAAGAAATGAGGTTCAGTTCCCATTAGCCCGTCTGGTTCTTGATTTGCTTCCTTTAGTTAAAAGAGGCAGAGAATACTGATGATGTTTTGCCAGGCACAGGATTGAAGCTGAGTGGCATGGAAGAATAGAGACTTAAATAAGCACAGCTCGCTGTCTCCACTTGCTTTTGTCAGTCCGTGTAACAACCTTGCTGCCAGCAACCTTCCTTGCAAAACAGAGGAAAAACCAGGGGTCATTGGGAGGTGATTGTGCAGTTCTACGAATGGTACTTAAGGTTGTTTTAAATTATTACAGAACCATTTATATTGTTAGCCTAAACAGGGTATTGATGGTTTAAATATTTAGGAAAAGATTAGTATTTAGTGATTCTTTCCCAGGTATATTGGAAAATATATTTGATAGTTCATCTGTTAAAAGGTTGTTTAAAAACATCATGGGTATTTCATGTGCAGACAATTGAAGTTTCATCTCCTCTGAAAACATATTTTTAGTATATTAGTTCTTTTTAATATGCAGTACTTAGGAGAAAGACAACAATAGATCTACTGTTAATATGTGGCTAGCACCATTGTAAAACCTGATTTTTAATTTTTTCCCCTCATTGCCTTCAGTTATTCCTTTGGAATTTGTGGTCTGTTTTTTAAAAATCAGTCCTGATTTCTGTGCCAGTCTTCACTGGAGTTTGTAATAACATACTGTAATTTAGGCAGCTCTGTGAGGTCCCATGTGTAAAGTTATCTGTGTAGCGCCTGCATGATCAGAATCCAAGGCAGCCCCATTTTCACTGAGTGCAAGATATTAACATTTTAAAATTACTTCAGATCCACAATTCAGTAGAAGCCAGCAGAACCTGGACTTCAGGGCTCCCTGCACTGCAGGCAGTAGCACATCTGTTACCTCACTTGTAACATAGTGCTAATAGCCAGGACTCTGGCAGCACATACTTCAGCTGAGAAGCACCCAAAGCCTTTGGAACGTATGAGCAGCCTGGGCTGAAGTTTGAGCTGGTGCAGCTTCCCCTCTTGGTGTCCGAGTTGGCCAGTGAGTGACATACAGTGCATTCACAGGTGCAGCTTTGCATATGCATCTGGTGCAGTGTAGAGACAGCATGAGTTGCTTTGGATTTTTTACTACAGATTTTGCACATAACATCCGTACCTGTACATAGCCAGTGCTCTTTTTTCACTTGAATGCCCTCTATAGTCAGCATACTTTAAAACTCGTCTCCCACTCTCATCACATCACAGCCAAATCCAGAGCCATGAATTACCTCACAGATGTAGTGACTTAGTGGGGCATTCGTAGTCTATCAGCACATCTTGAGAATTGTGTGTAACTAAGGACGTCTCCAGGGTGCAACACAGGGTTCCATGGAAGTGTACTAGGGTACACAGATAACTTTACACATGGGACTTCACAGTTCAGGTACTGCAAGCAGTATGACCAGCTTTCTCTGGCAGTCCCTCTGGACTCATTATTTCAGGTTTTTACTGATCTGTGGGTCCTGAGTGGGCTACCGGGCCCTCATCTTGGGGTATGAGTCACTGGTGAGAAGCTCTGAATCTGTTCATCAAACCCCAGTGTCCTGAAGCAGTTTATCAAGGAAAGCTGTTCAGCCAGGTAGTACCTTCTGAGCTGTGGAAGGGTACTGCAGAGTGCTTCAAACATAGCACTGTACTTGGCTAAGCAGAAACAACAGAAGGGTAATGTACTCATGACTAAGTTATGAGTAGAAGGCCCAGTAATGAGGGTAAGCTACACTCCAAAACAGGCACTCTCGAGCCTTCACTGACCCTCATCAGTGTGTTTTTATTGAAACACTCAACATCCATGAGGTACACAAGCAACCTGCACTTTGAAAGCACTTGAAAACCTTTTTTCAGGAAGTCAGCTCCAATGACATTAGAGGAGAGAAGAATGCATTACCCTGTGTTCACTCCACTGGGAACCAGTGTCCTTGCAACACAAACACAGAGCAAGAGATTCCAGGGGAATTTATTCACCAGGTTCACGCCTTGTACCCCAAGCTGGACTCCCCCATTCCCTTGGGGAAAATGGGTTTTGTAAAGCTCAGCACATTCTCAGTGCTGAGAGAAGATCAGCACATTCTCAGTGCACAGCTCACTCGCATAAGGAAACATGTATTTGGCCTGTCTTTACTGTCACAAAATTCCACTTTTTCCATAATCACTTTTAATCATAGTACTTATAAGTTGCTTCATTTTCCTTTTTTTAATAACAGTTGATTGCCACGTTATATAGGCAATAACCTATAAACTGGAATTGCTTTGCACTCATAAAGGCTTAAAATAGCAAGTCTAATTTGTTTATTAAAAAGTGATAAAAAAAAAGACAATGCCCCATGCTGAGACTTTGTAAACCACCTTTCATTCTATAGTACATCTTTATAGCTGTGTTATAAACCCCTCGTAAATGGGTTTTGTAGTAAAATGCTGACACAACTTTAACTATAGAATCTTGAACAGCAGCAATGCAATAAAAGATCAAACTGTAATGCTAGAGTATAAAGAAAGAATCATGATATGCAAAAAAAAAAAAGTTTGCATGAGTAATGGAACCTGATACTAAGATACTAAATATGGACAAAAGAAATAATCTGCCAAAGTTTTAAACCAGCCCTTGGAACATTTATGATTTGAGTTTTGGGCTGTTGGTGTGTATTCATTAGGTCCAGAGAACTGCTAAAGCTCAGCTCACTCTAGTGGGTTTCTGTTGCCCCATTCTGGCATGAACAGCTGACTGTGCATGAACAACAGTGGGTTTGCACTGCCCTGCACTAAGGAATCATTAAACTGGTGACCTGAGAGAATTGTGCTTCTGGAAGGGGTCTTTAGTGAAACAAACCAGGTGTAAGATGTTCCTGCAGCAGCACAAGCTGGTTGCTGTCCATCCGTGTTCTTGACAGCAGCTAAACCAGCATCCAAGTCAATAGCAGTTGTTTGTGTTATAAGAGAATCCTTCTGGGGTACCATATGCCAAACAAATTTTTACTATTGCTTCTTCTTTGTTATATTAAAGGTCTGTGAATTAGTGAGATTCATGAGGAAAATTATGAGTTTAGCCAAAGAAAGTTGCACAGTAACTGTACCTTGTAATGGAAATGGCGGGGGGGCACCTTTGGAAGGGTTCTGACTATGTCAAGTCACTTTGTTGTTGTTCAGCTTGGATGTACCTGTAACATAGTTTACCTCATGCAACTGAAAATCAATTTGTTCTCTCAATTCTAAGCTACCTCTCAAATTAAGCCCTATAAAACATTTCAAATAGAACAAAGAAAGCTGGCTGAAATAATATTTCATCTTCTGAAATAAGGGTTTGTCAAAGCCAGTCACATTACATGTGGCCAAGGAGAACACTGCTCATTTGAAATGCTATTGAGAATCTGAGAGCTCATAAGTTCAAGTCCATCTGCTGCAGACTTCATGCACTACTAGCTATTACAGTAGCTTGACAATAATCTCGGCATCATCTTTTATTCCAGTCACAAAGGGCTGTCAAAAACCAAATAGTAAGAATTACTATAAACAGCAATGATTCAGTCTCAATGGCAATGGCTCTCTATATCCTAGCAATGTAATCTACTGCTCTACCCTTAAATTGGATATAGCATATGAAGTCCGTCAGCCATGCAGAAAGTGAAAATGTATATTGTCAAGGCCTTTGCTGTCTGTGAAACTGCTGATGAAGAGTCACAGAAGGAGTTTTAAATGCCCTAGAAGAAATTCCAAGTAACATTAAAGTCACAAATAGCAAATTTGACAACTCCCTCTGGACTAAGAAAGTGCCTTCAAAAGTTTTATATTAGCTTCATGCATCATTGTTATAATTTATTAATGTACAGTTTTTAGTTTTTCAGACTGCATGGCTGGGGAATAGTAACTGTAACTTCTTTTTCATGATAAACAGCTGTTGAAAGATTTGCCAATATTCCCTCCTCTTATAATTCAAAAATGCATGCATTGCTTTTCATATTTCTGTTTCCCCAAAAGCATAATAAGATACTATATTTATGATTTAATCGATGAAACCTGTTCTCTGTAGATATTACTACACTGTTTAGTTTGCTAATGTGCATATTTGCACCTAATCTATTAAGAATCAAATATCATGCCTGCATTAGGGCATACACTGGGTAAAAGCCATCTTTAACACTTTGGCTTTTTCAGTATTCAGTAATTCTCTAGCAATTCCTATTCATCTTTGATTACAATCTCACAAGCTTGGAAGAAAGAAACAAAAATGATAGGCAGTAAAAATACAGAATTTTGAAAAGGTCACCTCCTAACAGGATTAAAACTTTGAATCCACCTGCTCATTATAAGGAATGTACCAAACATGAAATGGCATAACTGGAATCTGTTCTTCCAGCAGCGGTTGGTTTATATGACTACCAAATGCCATATACCATTCTAATGGCAGTCTCTGTGCAGAGAAATTTCTGCCCTGACTGGGTATTGAATTTACCAACAGCTGATGCATGTGCTGTTCTAAGGAAGGACATTTTAGGTTGTCCAACCTGTGTAGCTGCTGAAATTTGCCATGCAGGTCTGTTCCTCCCCGCTATAAGTGTCTGTCCTGATGTTGTGCATCTGAGCTTCTCCGTGACACATATGGCACTATCTTCAGTGCCTGGAGGTGTGTAGTATGTGCTTGAACTTTTGTTCATCTCTGAGTAGCAAGACAACCAAAAGACCATGGCGTTTTTTCTGTGAAATGTATTTTAATTATAGGATCCTTAATTTAACCATACAACAAACTCAGTTCTGGACATATTTGCCACGTTTCTTCAAAAGGAAAGTGTTTCTCAGTTAGAAGCTTGACTGAAGTACTTTAGATGTTCATTAAATGAAATTATCTTCTTAATATTTATTATTGTCAAATTTTTCATTTGATCTTAAGCAACTCTCAGGGTAGATTCAAGCAAGGGGAAAATCTACAGTTTTCTATTAAATTCCAACCAGATATTGCAAAGGCGAGACAGTGCGTGTGTCAGACTATTCCCACTAAACTCAATGACAAATTCTTGATTTTTTTTTTCATCTTTTGTGTGCCAGTTATTATGAACAATCTGGTTTTTGGTAATAGTTATTTGAAATCCTTATCTCTGTTCCTGAAATAGAGTACTGTATCTGGCAATAGTTGATCCATGGTACAGTGTGATTTAGTTACTGATACAGAAATATAACACTTTTCTGCTTCCTTGCATCACTGCACATAACACTTTCTGCTTCCTCTTGTGCCTCCCTCAAGAATGGATTCTTGTTGTATTCTTTCAACCCCTTACTTGTGTAAGGAAATTCAGGAGACAGCCCTGAGCATTCTGCATTACAAACGTTGTTTGTATACAAGCTCACATTGCCCTTAAAGGTGGAGTGAGATTTAACTGTATCAGAGAAGTGCTAGAGAAGAGGGCTTCAAAAGATAATTGAAGGAGAAATCAAGTCACTGCATAAGGAAATATGTAGTGGGATTGTCTGTAAAATATGGAGAGTGACAGATATTTTCCATTATTTATGGTCTTGTTTTTAAATAGTTTTCATTTCATGACATCATTACAAAAAATGAAAGGATGGAACAACCTCCAGTTTTTAGGCTTTGACACTAAGTCGTTGTTCTGTAAAAGCAGTTAACTAATATTCCCATCCCCTGGCTGTTCCAGCACATATCATTACACTGATACTGGAGAACAAAGATAGCACTCATTTTGGCTTCTCTTCTGCCATAAATGAAACTATTCTAAATGTTTCAAAATGTTTGCCCATACCTTAGATCAGCACAGTAACCACAGCTATCTTAACAATTACCCAGGGACAGATAAACTAATGACACAAGCAAATGTTTGCTGTGTAGACATTTAGGCAATGGTACAAGTAAGTTATGATAAAATAAAGTAATATTATATTTTGTTTTCATGGCACTGGCCTCAGGAATTGCTGTGCAACCTCCAACTCCATCCTCTATCTGCTCACTCACCCTAGTGCATCAGGCTCTACTCATTTGGAGTATACAGTCAAGACATACTGGCATTTCTAGTCAGAGTTCATGTTCTGTTTACACGGGCCCAGTTTTGAGGAAATCCCATTGATTTCACTGGACCAACAGTGATGGAAACTGATTGAATCTCTCAGAAGTGTATCTTCAGATCAGGCCTTGGCAATGTGGTAAAAAAATCCTTTAGATCTATAGGATGTTGCATCCGTTCACAGTGTCTGGGACCCAGCAAGTTTGGGATTTACTGAGAGA